GAGAAGGCCAAATGTTAACGCTTTAAAACCGCAAAAGGGCGGGAAGATATAAAATTTAAATTGTTATTTCGGTTGTATCAAATCTAAAGCTCAGAATTTTTTTGTACACCTAATATTTTGTACTATTGCAATATTGTACATTTTGTAATATTGCACATTACTTTATACAAAACGTTATTTATTGTAAATTATTTGCGCTATTAAATACGCTAGTTTATTATCCATTCTCTGTTCCTACATTTTAGGAGCAACATGCATCTGTAATAATATAAAAGATATCAAAAATTTAGAAAAATATTATATATGTATATACCATTTCTCAGCACGCGATTCATCTTTAAGACTGAAATCTCTTTGGCGAAACTTTTGATACCGTCTTTTACATGTAGCATGACTTACAGCGTTCTCTCCATATGCAGCACAAATCATTGCAATGGCTTCAGCGGCATTTTTCTTCAGATGAAACGCGAAGTGGATGGAAAATCGAATATGCTCTTTTGTTATTGCCATCGTGAACACTACTGATTTTTGAGATTATGTGCATTAAACGCCAAACCGTATGGCATTTTAGAAGGCCAAATGTTAACGCTTTAAAACCGCAAAAGGGCGGGAAGATATAAAATTTAAATTGTTATTTCGGTTGTATCAAATCTAAAGCTCAGAATTTTTTTGTACACCTAATATTTTGTACTATTGCAATATTGTACATTTTGTAATATTGCACATTACTTTATACAAAACGTTATTTATTGTAAATTATTTGCGCTATTAAATACGCTAGTTTATTATCCATTCTCTGTTCCTACATTTTAGGAGCAACATGCATCTGTAATAATATAAAAGATATCAAAAATTTAGAAAAATATTATATATGTATATACCATTTCATAAAATATTATATATTAAATATCATATTATTTGATTTAGACTCACAATGCAATGATATATAATTGAAAAGATTACGATAAAAAGAGAAAGAATTAAATTCGTAACTAACTATACATATATGTGACTATACATATATTTAGTGCCAAGACACTACCGTGTCTTCAGATATTATAATTAATCTGTGTATATTTTATGTTACATTTTTATTTTAATATTTTAAATACATTATTTATAAAGAATAAATTACTTTAGCTCACATACAGATGAATTTTTTGACGGTGTCCAATTTTTATATTTGCCATTTATACTCTTTAACCAATTCATTCGGCGTTCTGTGTCTTTCGAAATTATTTTCATAACATATCCTTTTTTTAATGAATTGTTACAAAACGATATTGTACATCCAACCATATTTCTAAAATAATTTCGATAATTTTATTTTTATCAATGTACCTTTACGTATCTATGTCGTTTAATACTGTTGCACCTAATCCTAAAATTGACAGTCTGTTGAACTGAGACCGTATATCTCTTTCTCTCTCGCAGAATTTCGCTAAAATATGACGTCATCTCTTGTATGGCGCCACTCTGATTATAGGCTCTCTACTTAAGACTTCTTAGGTCATAATCCTGGTGGGAGGGATAACATGATGTGTGCAGTTGGACAGTATCTCTTTCTAAATCTCTGCCCTCTTCGTCTGTTCGGACTGTTCATAAAAAGGAAGTGCTAGTAACTGTGAAACGCTAACATGGGGCGATATTACAATGGCGATTAACATAGACCGTTTTTATTTTAAAATTGTCTTAAATAGTGTCTTAAGATATTAATACAGTCCTCGGATTGACATCTTAAGACTGTATTTAAGATAGTCTTAAATGCAAGAATCAACTATGAATATCGGCTTGTTTCGTGTCGTGAAATTGACTGCTGAATCTTTCGTTGTTTGACACACTTTATAATGCATCTTAAATCCTCTTTCTATAGAAAGAGAAATGTTTCATAAGATTTCATAAGGTTCAAGAGCTATAGCTGTGAAACGTTAAACATGAGTATTCATAATCCATTTTTATTTTAAAACTATTTTAAATATAATGTCTCAGGATGTTAATACAGTCCTTGGATTGATTTGCGACATCTTAAGATTTCACGGCACGAAACAGGCCGGTATTCATAGTCGATTCTTGCAATTAAGACTGTCTTAAGTACAGTCTTAAAATGTCATAAGTCCAAGGACTGTGTTAGCATCTTAAGACATTATTTAAGACGGTTTCAAAATAAGAACGTACTATGAATCGCCCCATGTTTCGCGTTTCACAGTTGATAGCTCTTATTCCCTATTGACAATACGGAGCAAAAGTAGGCATGGTTTGGCCATAGAACTTGTAATAATTGAAGGGGAATATGGACGTCGAGCTGTGAGTAAGACTGAGAGACAGAAAATGTATTTCTGTCCTCTTCTGTTTTTTTTGGCACATGCGCAAAAAGAAAAGTTACTAAGTAAAAATATTGGGTCATCTAAAAAGTATCCGCGGTTTTTTGTCATTAGATGTGTGTTGATGGTCATATATCTAGTGACAAAGTACCGCGGATACTTTTTAGATGACCGAATACATCTTCTGTCTCTCAGTCTTGTTCACATTTTTCACTCATTGGTTGGATATGCTCTTCCATTACTATTAGTTATATAGTGGGGAGAACAGACTCTTGCATAACGTATAACATTTGAGGCATAAAAAATTGAACCAACTAGAGTTCTTTATTTAATGGAAAGAAAGGAAACGGAGGACTTCGATTGATACATTTTCTTATGCATTACATGTTAAGCCTCGTCTACAATATAGTCACACAGATTGTGTCGCAAGTCGCGAGTAGTAGCATCGCAGGAAAATTTGTCGCATGCCGCAAGAGTGTTGCTAAATGAGCGTTTGCAATAGTCATAACGATTGTTTGCACGCAATTCAACAATAAATTCTAAAAACGTTAACTTGCTGTGCTGTAATTGGCTAAGATCATGCGACACGCTTGTCGTAGTCGCAGAAAGTTGAAGTTGGTTCAACTCCGTACGACAAGCGATTACTCTTGCGATTACGACAATCATGCGACTATATGCGACATTTCTATGACATTTCATACGACATGCGACACAGTTTGTGATTGTTGTAGATAAGACTTTATACATTATACAAGAAATTATATATCTGTGTTCCCCGCTTATAGGTTGAACTGTACACGCTATGATAATAACTTATTACAGAAAGTCCATAAGGATGAAATCACACGGTGCGAAAAACGACTGCGGAATAAAGAATGCAACATAGAAGCAACCAATCAGCGTTATTCTACGTTATTCCGATGTTACGTTCTAGGGAGGTTCGGCCGATCCTCCGGGTTCGAACTAATTCGAGACTATAAGGTTGGAATAAAACTGGCAGTTCAAGCGTCGCAGGTTCGCGAGAGGGCTCTCGATCGGACTTGTCCAATAAATTGATTGGTTAAAGGCATGCTCTGGATATTTATATTATAGTGGATTCCGAATCATTCCACGGTTGCTCTCCCATTCTTCCTAAATAACCGATAAATCCTTCTAAAACTTCGGGGCAACCGAAACAATTCGCGATGGCATGCCGAGTGACTGTAGTATAGAGCATACACTACAGGATTCAAAGCAAAGGGTAACCCAAATGAATGTATTGCCGCAAGACCCTTTGATAATTCCTCTTTTCCGGCGTGGAAGTGTAGCACTCAGGGCATTTGATGTTGCCGTTTTCCCTATGTCAAAAGAACAATGAAGATACGCAACATGCACTACGCAATCATGTAGAGTACGGACTAACCACTAGAATTCGAGCATCGATGGATTCACGCGAACGCGGGTATGAGATACATGCTGGATGCGATTCATCGGCGGCAGATTTCAATTACCGAAATATAGAAAGGAGTTTGCTCACCTTGCGATGCCCGGTTAATGTTCTCTGGTGTTCCCGAATGCCAGTAGAAAGAAGTGGTCAGGGAGGAAGGCTTCTGCAGCTTCCAAGATGAACCAATTGTCGATTCAGATGCCAATGGGTTGCTCCTTCACTCTTGTGATGTTTAGCAACGATTGATTATATTGAAAATGTTAAAGCTAGCGAGAAGATGGGGATATTCACTAAGTTCACACTTGAGTTAAAGTTAATTAGATATATATTTAACAATGATTCACCTTAGTACATTGATTAGTGGCGTGATGATTAATTCTTACGCGAAAGTAGACTTATCTCCAAATTAAGTTGGATTATTACGAATTAAAATTTAGATCTTATGATTACGTTTAGAATTAGAAATTAGTACTTAGAAAAAGAATTATGTTCGCACCCCCTAAAATCCCCCTCCATTGACCGCACCGCTGTTGGTGTGAGGAGAAGCGTCAGGTTCTAGAAGATGCCCGTGTGTATTATTCGGGTCCGGTGGCGAGTATGTTCGAAAAATAATCATTGGACAAAATGAAGTTGCTGCGGATGTAACTAACGGACCGAATAGCGCTAATTGGTTGCTTCTATGACGCATTCTCTATTTCGCAGTCGTATTCCGCATCACCTGATTTCACTCTAAGTGTTATTATACATAAAACGACGTAAATTGTAAGACCATTAGATCATTCAACATAAAGATATCATATTGATTTATATATTATAAGATGCTGGCCCAGCAGTCTTATGCAATGCTCATATATAGCTTATATGTTATTTTATGTGATTGTTCTAATAAAGTATATATAAATAAGATTATACGTAATTATAATATAACTCATTATATAACATTGAAATTATTTATATTATAATCATATAATATTTCAGCATGTTATGTAACTAATCTGTACCTTTTGTAATTATGCAACAGTTATATAACGTTTATTACATTGTTATTACATGTTTATTGTATATAATTGTAATTTGCAGTCAATGGGAAATTATAACTAACATGTACGTTACATGTAATCAACATTATTATTATATTATTTGCTACATTCCGTTTTATTACAGTAATATAACAATTATATAATTGCGTTTGCTGAAAAGGAGCGGGTAGAATAAAAATTAAGAACAAGAATAAAGATAAAAAATTGAAAACAAAAAAGAGAACCGAAAAAAAAGATAAAATTTCAGTTCGGTTACGATTTCGGTATTGTAAACTTTACAAAATTTGGGTACAATTTCGGTTTCGGTTGAAACCTGCAATCTTGAAAAGTGAATGTGCGTACCCTTAGAAAAGTGAGTCTTGCTATATAGTTTACACTTTTTTAAAGGATAGCAGTATTTTGTGGTTACAGGTTTTGGGTCGTCATGTCTTCTCTCAAGTTTTTCTCTCTGCTTGAAATAAAAACGGACTATTCAAAGACCGAGTTTACAGAGCTAATGCAAATTTTCGCGCCTAAATTAAATTTATATCGTGTATAGTTATGATAATGCATCCAACTGATTCGTTAATACATACGTTCATCTCTTTTAATACTTCTATTTTACAAATAGTACATTTGAACTGTTATAATGTTTGAGTCTACAAAACGCTGAAACAAATGTTATCAAATAAAAATTGATGGTATACATTATGTACAATATTTAACGAGGAAAGTAAGTTTTTAATTCTTTTCCTCTTTATGAATTTGAGGTTATTTGAGGTTATTTGAAAACAAAGGATGTTTAGATTAAAGCTTATGTTGCACATATAGAATGAAATAAAACCAAACTGAATTATTAAAGACTCTAACAAATATAAATCAAGTGATATAACTTATGAATTTTAAATTGCTGAAATTTATTTGTAATGTAGTATTTTCTTTTAAGAAAACACACCTTGCGTATGAGATGATGCTACATTCATGTGTAATAATCTGTTTTTAGTATATACGATTATTATCAGTTTTTAGCGAAAGATATTTTCAATTAATAGAGTATTTTTATTTATTTCATAAAAATAAACAATTTCATTTTATAATCTAACTTTAAAAGACAGTTTACAGCTCTCTATCGTTCGGAATTAACACATTTTTGGCACCCGGATTTCTTGAAGATCACGTGATCAAGCTCGCCATCTGCTAGCTCGCATATCAGATTTACATTGCCGAACGCACCTTTTACCTTTTACCTTCATTGACTTAAATTTTGATTCTACGCCGTGTCACGTTAGCACGATTTCTTGTTGAGATTCGCTTGAATTTTACAATATGCAGGCAAGTGGTCATTCAAGCATGCAATTATTTTCACATTAACGATATCAATTTTGAACACTTAGACATAAAAGCATGTACACACGTACATGTACTCGATTTAGTAATTCTTTACAAAAAATTTACACAGCTTGGCTGTCCTTGATATATGTTATTAATGATCCTGAGTAACTTTGCCTCAACAATTATGTGGTTATCTCTTATAATCTTTTGCTGATATTTTGAGTTGAAATGTAATTTTAGTAAATTTTAACTTTACAGAATAAATTTGGATAATTATACAGAGGATAATTATAATTTTACCATTGAACATTTTAAAAATCAATAGTTAGACTTATTTGACGCTTTTTTTGCATGAAACGAAAGAATTTGCTAAAAAAAATAGTCGCCTTGTAAACCAAGATATTAAAGTTGATGACTGTTGAGGTTAGGAAATCTGTCACTGCCACAAAAACTGCGATGCAAGCATGCATTGTACATGGGTTTCGACTTTCCATGCGAAGTGACTTCCATCCCATCTCCCTGTTTAAGGGGCGCACGATTTTTATAATTGTACTGTTGCACATGGGTTTTGAGTTTTCACGAAAGTCGAAACTCATGTGCAACAATTATAGGCCTCGTTTCGCTTCTGTAACAGATTTTCTACTTCAATAGTCGTCAACTTTAGCGCTTAATATCTCGGTTCGCGGCAGAGCCACGCTTATTTCTGCTAGATTCTTTCGTTTTATGAAAAGACGCATCGAATAAGCCAAATTTTATTGATTTTTGAGGAGCTCAGTAGTAAATTGTATAATTACCTGACTTGATTTTGATCTTGACATATGTTGTCAAGGCTATGATTCTGAGTGATCTTCAGAAGATATTAGTCATCGCTCGTTGTTTATTAAAAAGTTATTAAATAAAAAAAATTATTACAATCACAAAGTTAATAAGTTTGCGCATGTATATGTTCTATAGCTACATGCACATGTATTTTATGTATTAAGGTTCTTTAGTAAATCGAGTTATTATAAAAATGTCTAATTTTTTTATATAATGAAGTTGAAGTACCGTAATTGACGTGTGCAAGTTTCTACTGTAGGTTAACGATGAAATAAAAAAAAAATGTTGAAAATGTAACCTTTCACGTATTTAGTGACAGATAAGGCTCGTAGAGCGTGTATTTCTTTGCACATAAATTTTACCATAGACTTTTTTCAAATCCGAGATCATAATAGTTTAAAGAATTACGATTTTAATGGTCACAAAAAAGTAATAGGTCAACAGCCATTCTGAAAAGATATATACGTGCATAAACTTGCATATAAATTTAACTTCGAAAAGTAAATATAATCTCATTTTGTTTTTGTTCGAAGCTTGATTTACTATTGTATGTTCCTATCCTATTTCATTAAGATATACATGAAGTTTTAATATTATCCAAATTATACAGATATTTGTAATTTTGGGCCCTTATGAGGCATCCCAAATTTTCGACATTTTACTTAAGAAAAAAACCACCTTAAATCTTTGCCTTACTAAATAAATGAGTCTGCAATATACTAAAAATAATAGGTCAAAAAAATTAGACAGACCCCTCAAAAAACACAAATTTTCTTATTCTATAATATAATTTAAATTATAGCAGAGAATAGATTATGATTGAACATTTACACCTATCTATTTCATATCTTAAGGATCTAATTAATCTTTTCAGTTTCTTTTATATATTTTTAGTATATTGTAGATTCATTCATTTAGTAATGTAAATGTTTAATATATAAAATTTAATGCATGGATATGTGACTATACTCTATAGCATGCCTCTATTGAAAAAATTGTCACAAAGTTGTATAATGAGAAATGTAACTAAGATAAGTAAATCACGTAACAGGTTGTTCCAAATCAGTACGTTATTTTTTAAAATTACAATTTGAAAAATTACAATATTAAAAATAATTTCATCCATTATGTGATTTTATAGTTATCGAATTTAATAAAAACTGAATGATAGAAATAGAAGAAAAAATATATTATGTGATTTTTCAAATTACGTAATTAAAAAAATCACGTACTGATTTGAAACAATTTGTTAACTAATTTATTTGTTTTAATTACATAACATTTCGTCATGTAACTTTGTGACATGATTTTTTTCAGTAGAGATTTTACATTGGTCTACATTGATACTAACTTTCACATAAATTGAAAATTAATTAAATATCTCAGAACCTATGACAAACTATCACCTAATTGTTAAAGCAAAGTTGCTTGAGATCATGGCCTGGACAACATATGTCAAAAGATTAGGATCGTCTGAGTTCGTTCTCCATGATTAAAATCTTTTACTGAAATTACACACTTTAACTGTAAATATCTCAAAAATTAAATAATAAGAGATCATCACTTAATTGTTAGGACAAAGTTATTCTGGATCATGACTTGATCCAGACAACATATATTAAAATGACAACATATATTAAAATGATAGTCATCTGAACTTATATAAGCTTTGTGTAAATTTTTGTAAAGAGTTACCCTCAATTTTACGCATGATACAATCGAGAATAAACATTTTTTTTGGATTTCATCGATATGTGTATTTTTATTATATATTATTTTTAACATTTGTTATTGTTTTCCTTTTTTATTATTGAATTTTATTTAATCAAATTTTCATAAACAAATTATCTCGATAATTATTTAGGAACAGAATATTCCGATCGACATTAACGCTGGAAAGTTACTGGATTGGCTGATTAATCGGCGGCATTGCAAGAAGGATTGGCATATGAATATTTTGCCCATTAGACAGAAAATTAATAATGCGATACAGAATATGCCTGCTCATGATGGCATTGCTTCATTGTTGTCCGGTGCCTGTAAGTTATGAATTATTATAACTCCATCTCATGATTTTTACAAACATATAGTTGCAGACTTCTGACTATTATGTTTTTTTTTATTTTGTCTTTTTTAGATATAAATTATTTTTACTGTGTGAAAATTGTGAAAATTTTGAAGGAAACGGAAGCTGATACAAAAAATTTATTTGGGCGTTATGGCTCACAAAGGATGAAAGATTGGCAGGAGATTTTGAGATTGTATGAAAAAGAAAACGTATACCTTGCCGAAGTTGCGCAAATGCTTATGAGAAATGTTAATTATGAGGTTCCCAGTATTAAAAAGCAGATACAGAAGTTAGAACAATTGTTAGCTGTAAATTGATTTATATATATTGTGTAATGTTATCTTTATTTATTAGCATATTATAATAAATATATATAAAACTATATTGTCAGGAATTGGAAAAGAAAGAATCAGAATACAAGAAATCGGAAAATATTGCACATATGGAATACAACATGCTATGCAAACAATTAGGTGTAACTGGTTATAATACGGTTAGACGAGAATTAATAGATAAGTTGAAAGAATTGCCAGAAATTTATCAGAAAGTAGCGGAGAAAACAAAGTGCTTGGACAAGGTTGTAGAGTTTTATAGTGCATTTGTTGAATTTACTTTTGACCAGCAATATGACAGTGATTGTGTATCGATGATTAAATATGTTATTGGTATGTTTGCATAATAATTTTAAGAATTTATTATTATACTTAAATAAGAAATACGTATGATAGTGTTATATTGTTATTTTTTTTTTTTAGAAAAAGGAAACACAACAATGTTTGAATATATATATGGAGAAGTACCAGCTTCAATAATTGAGCCGCCATTGAATATTAAAGTAGATGAAGATGAAAGTAATAAGCAGCCTAGTGTAGATGCTAATGTATGCAATTTTTTGTGATATTTATAACAAAAGTAGAGATTGTTATTATTTCGAGCATTCTCAACAGACCATTGATTTCGGTAACTTGGATTTGGATGGAGAAATTGATTTTGGTGAAGAAGTTGGTTTGGACACAGGAGGCGATATTGATTGGGGAGAAGAAGGTGCAGAACAATCTATCATGGAAATTGATTATAATATCTCTTTGGAGGAATCGGGTATAGTTGTGGAATCAGTAGGTCATGAAGGTGGCGTGGCTACGGGGTGTGAAGCATATACGATATTAGACAATCCAACAACGAGATCCGAATTTATCAATCAACTGTTTGAAGTATAACATAAATATATATATAAGAAATTGGTAGCTCTCTACATTTTATCTAAATATATATGTATATATATATATATATATATATATATATTTTTTTTTTTATAGCTGGAAGCATTTATGAAGTTACGTCTGTACGAATTTAAAGGCGATGATAAGAATAATCTTCTCAGTTTTAATCAGATGCAGAATGCTTCATCCATTCTGCAACTTTCTACCACAGAGACCACTCAAAACATGCTGGATAACATTCAAGTTATTCTGTCTGAGATGTTGCATAATAATGTTCAGCATTTACATAACATTAAACATTATCCAAAGTATAATTAATTAAATATAATATACAGGATGTTTGATAAGTAATGATAAAACTCTTGCATAGGGATAGAGCGGACTAAATTGAGTCAAAAAGTCCTTTATAATTTTGCAATTTTTGCAATGATTAACAAGATATCAATTACTAAATTAAAATCACCAAATATTGATTTTCAATAATTTTTTAATTAAAAATTTTTTCAGAATTTTTTATCAATTTTTTAGTACTGCATTTTCTTATTGACAATTATTTTTCCAACATGAGAAAATGTGGTACTAAAAAATTCTGAAAAATTCTCAGAACTCTATTAGAAGAAAATACAGTTTTTGTCACTTGCTGTTTTTCTATAAAATGATAATACTTGAGTAAAAAATTAATGAAAACCCATAATCGGCGATTTTTCTGGTTAACTGTTGCGAAAATTGTAAAATGATACAGGACTTTTCGATTCAGTTTAATTCGCTCTACCCCTATGAAAGAGTTTTATCGTTACTTATCAAACACCTTATATATGTGTATATATATATATATGTATTCTTTTTTTACAGATCTTTAATATGTACATATTTTTACAGATACGTGGACATAGTAGCTGTTACTTTAAAGCAAAAATTAAATTTGATTGATAGAATGGTAACCCAACAAGAATCTGTGCGACAAAAGCAAGATGACACTCGGAATCACATCGATAAATTACGTCCATTATTAAAACTCATCATACAAAGAACTAAGGAATTACAAACAGAGGTATGCCACTTTTTTTCCAATGACGTTATCAAATACTGACTGCTGTTATTTTCTATACTAGACTTCGCACGCATTATTTTGCATAAATTTTTTTACTTTTCTCACTATAATTAAATGTTTGAATAATTTAAGTGCATACAGTTAATATTAAATTGTTACTATAACACTATTAATTCCTCAATACACAATTGTCAAAATATGCAATGACAACTGTTCATGAAGTAAACGCAACGAGAGAACTAATCGACATCGCGGAAAACCAAAAATAATAAACTTCGACTTTTTAAAAAAATGGACTGTATTTAATTGCAGATAGAGCAAGATATTTCTAAGAAATACAAAAATAGGATGGTACATTTAACCGGAGGTGTAAATACGTTGTAGGTATCAAACGAAGGAGAAAAAAATTGTTGAATTATATATCAAAAATGTTAATAATACACAAAGATAGTACGACTTTACTATTGTGTAATATATATAATTTTTTTGCTGTTGTGTAATATATATATAATCCTTTTTATTCTTATATATTCTAAATCTATTATCTTCGTAGAACAGATTTAAGTAACAGTAGACAGAACGAAAAAAATAAATAGGTACTACAATAATCGTTGTTGATTGTAGCGTGACCTCTTACGTATCTCTAAATGTGCAATTTATAAAAATAATCAATACTTTCTTTGGTATTCAAATTTTTGGCCTTTACTCATACAATATACTTCCAAAAGACATTCTAAAAACTTTCAGAGAACATTCTAGGTCTTAAGAAAATGTGCTGTATGAGTAAGAATATAGGTTTTTAACATGATATAAGTTAGTTATAGTGAATTTTAGGTATTGCGAGTAGGCATTTCTCGAAAGTCAAATCTTACAAAATAAAACGAATTTTTTGTGTTTCTAAACGTAACCTGTGCTATTTAAAAAAAATATGTTTATAAGTTACTCTTATTGTAAAATACATTTATATAATCATGAAAAGATTCTGTACGAGTCTCCATGGTGACGAAGTACAAACTGCTTTGGTGGTAGGGCAAGGATATCTCTTTAAACACTCGGCTAACGAACGATCGCATTCGCATAAACGTTGAGCACAAGATCCTGATCCGCCCCAACTGCCATGCTCAACCGCTGTAACAAAGATTTTACGAATTGTTTTATTTCATTATATCACCTTATTTACGTAGTTGTACAGCATAAATAAATAAATCAAGTTTAATTTATAGAAAAGACATTATATTGACTCATAAAGAAAAGATTAAATGAATAACAAACAAACCACAAACAGGTTTATAACCATGATAACATCTCCAGTAATATGGTACAAAGTATTCTGAGAACATAGGACATTCCGTAGCGTCATAACACCAGTCATGCATCTTGCAGCATCTGGAACATTACATTTAATTTATTTTTTATGAAAAAAAACTCGTGGTTGTAAATAATATGATTTGCTTTCCTACAGATGTAAATAACATACTGGTCGATACCATCGATGACATAACCGGATCCCAAGAATCCGCAGTAGCAACCATATCCTTTGTAAGCTAAAGGATTACATCCCGTAGCGCATACTACCATATTGTAAAGATGTATTACTCCTCTTTTAAATCTGGTATGGCCCGTATTCTTCTTTGCATTTGTTCTGAAATGGCATAGTTATGTCAGCCTAGATAATATGCATATCGTTTTAAAGACATCTTTAAGCTTTATCAAAAGTTATTTCTTAAAAAAGTTTAAAAAAATCAGGTAAATATATACAACAGGGGCCATTTCCAATGATCTTAACCTTGACATATGTGTGGTAGTCAAGGTCATGACCCTGAGTGATCTCCAACAGGTTTTGGATGGCGGTCGCTGTTCAATAAAAAGTTATAAACAAAAAAAATTTAAGAAATAACGTCATATTTCTTCTCCCCATATAATTTTTGTTGGTAAATATTGAAAACAACGGACCCACCTTGGTTTTGACATGTACTGTCAAGGTCAAGGAAATAGATTTTCTGCTCTAAAACCAAAAATTGTCTTTGAAAACATTAATTTCCCATATAATTTTTGTTTTTAAAGTAGGATATTATTTCCACCTCTCTCCTCCCCTGCTTGCTTGGGGGCGCACGCCTTCTCGCGAAACGACTCTTACCCCACCTGTTCCATCTCCCTTTGCTTGGAATCATTTCGCGTGGAAGTCGTTCGCTCCATGGTGAAAGGGATAACATGGTGTGTACATGTGGACAGTGTCTCTCTAAATCTGTCTTTTTCATCTAGAACTATTCATAAGGAAGAAGTTACCAACCATGAAACGCTAAACATGGAATGGTATTCATAGTCCATTTTTACTTTAAAATTGTCTTATAATGTTTTAAGATGCTAATAGAGTCCTCGGATTGACTTATGATATTTTAAGATTGCTTAAAGACAGTTTTAAATGCAAGAATCGACTATGAATACCGGCCTGTTTCGTGCCATGAAATCTTTATATCCCAAGATATTATATCTAAAACAGTAACATCCGTTTTAAAATAAAAACGGATTATGAATAGTCTCATGTTTAGTGTTTCACAGTTGTAGCTCTTGAATCTTATGAACATAGAGAGGGCAGAGATTTAGAGAGAGACACTGTCCAACTGTACACATAATTATCCTTTTCATCATGCGACATACTAGCTTGATCAAAAAGTTTCCGGAATTCATTCAGAAAATTCAAAATACAAGTTTATTCATCAAAAGTGATATTGTCCCCTTCAAAGTACTCTCCAGCGACTGCAACGCACTTATGCCAGCGCTTGATCCAGCTCTCGAAACATTTCTGGAACTCTATTATTGGTATAGCCATCAGAGCCGTCTTCGATTTTTCCATTACCTCCTTTCGGCTGTTAAAACGCGTTTCCCGCAGGTTTTTTGACTCGATCGAACAGAAAAAAATCGCAGGGAGCCATATCGGGGGAATTCGATGGCTGTTGGATGGTATTCGTTGTTGCAAACTCGTTGTTGCAAATTCAAATCCATTTTTAAAACTGTAAAAAATCGAAAACACGCGCAGAGGTAGATGTACTCAAGACGGCGTAATTTTTACAAAGGTCAAGCTATGGCGATAAAATTTGAGGGAAATGTCAATGATAGATGTGGCAACCTAGCCAAAAAAAAGAACTCAAATCAGCTGACTCAGAGCATCACTTGGTGGTCTCTTCCGGAAACTTTTTGATCAAGCTGGTATAAGGGTGCGTTCGTTTATGCAGTTACGGCTGCAATGTCGTTCGTTTATTCTATCTGCGAAGAGGACTGCAGCACAGTTTGTTGTTCGTTTACGCAGAGATATATATTGCGCAGCTATTTCGGAAGTCTTGCTCACTAATAGGTAATGAATATATAATATAATACCAGGGCAAATCAATAAGTACCCGTTAATAATGAAGACGCAAGCTTTTCACAAAAATTTTTTTTATTTTTCAACGTAATCTCCTTTTAGGAGGATACACTTTTCCCAATGCTTCTGCCATTTTTTTAATCCTTCAAAAAAAATACGATTTGTCGAACTCTGCAAAATAGGCCTCTGTTTCGATGACCTCCTCATTCGACGTGAATTTCTTTCCACCGAGCCATTTTTTTAAGTTTGGAAACAAGAAGAAGTAACTGAGGGCTAAATCCGGAGAGTACGGTGAATGCGGCAGCAATTCGTAACGCTCCAAACATTGCTTTGAAATTGATAACCGCATCCGCTTGTTGTCCACCGTGAGCAATCGCGGCACCCATCGGGCCGAGCTTTTTCCCCCAAGTTATCATGCAAAATATTGAATGCCGTTCCGTACGACACGCCTACAGCCTCTGCTACTTTATGCACTTTCATTCGGCGATCAGCGAGAATCATGTTGTGGACTTTTTCAACGATTTCCTTAGTAACCACGTTGCTGGACGGCCTGGGTGATTCTCATCAAAAACAGACGAACGACCACGTTTGAATTCGTTGAACCAATATCTGACGGTTGTCATAGATGGTGAAGAGTTCCCATAGATGGCATCCAACTTCGTTTTTATTTCTTCGCACGTTTTTCTATCAAAAATAAGAAATGAATCACGAATCGATATTGCTTTTTTTCCATTGTATTGGAAAACATCAAACACGCTCACTACGAATTGCTGTCAAATCAAGATTATTGTATGAATCACTCTGAAATTTTTTATGACGTCGTTTGAAAGATGATAGTACACGATGGTAATTGGTCAATTTGTAACGTCGCCTGTCTTGAAACACCAGTACTTATTGATTTACCCTCGTATTTATCATCCCTATTTATATAAGATAGCCATCTGTTCGAAAGATAACCATAGAC